GCATATTAATGCACAACTCAGTTCAAACCAGCATAGGAAAATAAATCTCTAGGATTCAGTCAGCATTTACTTAGGCTACTGATGACTCAAGGAAGTTTTGCTTTTACTCAAACACAAATAATTATCTTGTAAAACAGCAACGTCTCTAAATTTTGGTAAGTACAAGGAAAAACTAATGATAAGATGATCTACTCTGAGTTGAAACACTGCAGTAGATAATTCATTCTTGCATTGAAAAGTGCAAGCACCGCCTGCCTCTATCACCCCATCCAGTATTTGAGGGCAGCAGGTGTACCCTCCAGTCTTTGACTCCATGTTACCCCTCTTGCTTGACTGATGTCCTCAAACACAAATGGGGCATGCACATACCTGCTCTAAGCCTGGCAATGAAGATATTTTGAATTGCATGTGAAATAAAATTCTGGAGAAATTTTCTTTCTGCTCTCCAACCACAGAAGTGGTAAATTAAAAAAAAATAATAAAAAAAAAAAAGCTGAAGTTATTTGTAAAAGTTGTGATATCTGGAGTGATTTTAAGGTTCTCAAAGACAGTTTCCTTCTGAAATAGATAGTGAAAGCTACACTTAAGTTAATTATGGAAATGACTACATTAAATGGTAAGAAACCAGCAACTATTCAGGATTTACAGATATATTTAGGGCATAATCTTGTAGATTTCATTCAGCTTTCAAACAGTGCATTTGTAATAATATTTTTAATAGTGTTTATCTTTCTAAAAGGAAATGAAGAATCACAGTCTATCTTGATTTCTATCTTAGCCATGAACAATACTATGTTCCAGTAGCATTTTTGAAACACATCTCTCATATTGTTAGCACACAAAATCCAAAACTGATTTAGAAGTTGTTACTCAGCATTCCTAGACACATTTTCCTAAAACAATCACAAAAACATTCAGTGGTGGGGAAAAAAGAAAATCACCTTCTACTTCCCTGTACTAATAACATAGAGAAATGTCTCAAGAAAATGTGAAGAAAATATTCATTGCACCTTTTACAGCTACTGAACGCTATCAGTAGAAACCTCATTCAATCACCCACTGTATAACTCAAGTGTAAACAAGTTGCTCACACAAATCAAAAGCTGTTAATGTTGTGGAACACATTTGCATTTCTATTATTTCAAAGGCTCTGGAGCTATATGCTTCATTATTATTTTCTGTAAGTATTACTTCAAGCCTATTCAGAACCTTGCGTATTTCACAGGCTGGCTCTTGACTCGCTTACTGAGTCCTTCCATCAGAAACTGGATCATAGAATCATATAATAGAATGGCCTGGGTTGAAAAGGACCACAATGACCATCCAGTTCCAACCCCCTGCTATGTGCAGGGTCACCAACCACCAGACCAGGCTGCCCAGAGCCACATCCAACCTGGCCTTGAATGCCTCCAGGGATGGGGCATCCACAACCTCCTTGGGCAACCTGTTCCAGTGCATCACCACTCTGTGCAAAAAACTTCTCCTAATATCTAACCTAAACCTCCCCTGTCTCAATTTAAAAATCGTTCTGTGCAGTTGGTCACTGTGGTATCTACTTTCTCCAAAATCATGCATAATAAACACACACATTTCTTCTTGCTTTCCAAAATAACCATGCACAAAAACATGGAGAACCTGTAGAAATGTCTGACTTTCCTTGTTTTGTTTTTTTAAACAGAAATTCTTCCACTGCCTTTTGCAAAAAAGTCATCAATTTTTTTTGTAATATTACTGCTTATGGTAATTCTGCCGTTTAAAAACTTGTCAAAATGAAAAGAGGCACTCAGACTTTATGATTCTGTACATCAATTTTTAGTACAAATTAGGACTGAGCTTTGAAAATAACAACACTGTAACACATCATGAAGCAGTCTCGGTGCAAATGGATTTATCTGGATGACACAACACAATACAACACACTAATTGCTAATGTGTTTCAGTCCAGAAGAACAGACTACAGATAGTCCGAAGAAAAATATACTGCAAGAACTGGGTCACAAAGATACTGCTGTGCCACACTGCTTGACAATATTCTCACAGCCAAATAATGAAGACAAATAATGACTTCAGCAGATCAGAAATAAAAGAAAAAAAAAGAACCAGTTTATCAGCATTTACCCTAAGATACAGAGTTTGCTTTAAAAAGAACAAAAACAAAAACATAAAAAGTGCTTCTCTTTAGCAAATAGACTATATAATTGTCTTATAAAATTGTCGCCATATAAATTCAACATTAAAATTATATCTGAGTTACTAAGAACTAACTACTAACTAACATCCTAGCTCTTAAATCCATATTGATGATATTTAGCTCATTTCAGCAGGCCTATAAAAAGGAGTTCAATATCAGAACTAATGTCTCAGTGTACTAAAGAAAGGTGAAGATGTGAAATCTTTACAGAGATATGTGAGAAAACTGTCTACAAAGGTCAACCAATACTTTTATTCAACATCCTAACTTTGTCTGAGTTGAAGGAGAAGATGTTTCAGAACAGCTTTTATTACTTAATTATTACTTTAATGATGATAAGGAGGCTTTTCTCTCAAACATATGATGGTCAGATTTTTTGTTTGTCTGGGATTCTTGTGGTGATGGGGAAGATGAGATACAGTGTGAGGTGGGTTGTTTTTTTCTGAGCATCCACTGCGTTAATATAGCACTTTCAGCACTAAGTCAGATTTCTACTGCCTACCCGCACACTTTGTCTATCTGCACTCTTTGTACATTGTACTGGTCCCTTTCATGGAGATTATTGTGGATTTTCTTCTCGTGCTCTACTTCTAGTATTGAGAAAAGGAAGATGGCCAGTGGTCTCCTACAAACACTTATGTTCACAACCCTTTAAAATGAGGGTATTTTCTGATAACAATGTCTCACAAAGGAAAAAAACAGTCACCAACGCTCTCCTGACAGTAAGTACTGTCTCACTCCTATTGGTGAAATTTGCTGCCACAGCTCAAAAAGAAGAGCTGAAAGTGTCTGAGTACAAGGTTCAGCTGCTACCCTGATGTAAGATTAAAAAAAAAAAGAGCTTTGGGGCATGGCACAGCATCATGCACAAAATCCGTAATGATTCCAGCCAATAATAAAACTATTTTCATGGTACCTGAAGGCTGATCAGAGTCTGGGTCAATTCTAGACTCCATGAAGGACAGAAAGCTGTCCTGAAGGATAAAGATCACGTATCTTGGTTTTAGTTCTAACTATTTTCTCAGCAATCATGATAATTCAATTCATTTGAACAGATTAATATTAAAATTTGGAAATGAGGACTGCAAAATCCTCAATGCAAAGCAAATACAAAAGCTATAAGCTGCTTTCATTCAAGACTTAGAAGAAAAAAATGCATATTAAAAAAAAGTATAACATGGAAAAAAAGACATCCATACTAGATATCAAACAATACCCCTCCTTTAACAAAATACAGATGATTTCATTGCTGTCAATTTTCTAGTAAAGAGAATACGCAATCAGACCCTGGCTCTATTCAAGCTATTCAGGTAGTTATATAAACAAGCCCTTTCTTACAGTGCCTGCATTCAGAAACATATATTCCGTTACTTCATTTCATTTACTTAAGTCTACCCAATTTTTTTAATGGTCAGACACAAACAACGAAACACTGTTCCACCTAACCATAACCAATGGGGAAAAGAACACAGATATATATATATTAAAAAAAAAAAGTCCAAAAAAAACCCCAATGCATTTTTCACAGGAAAAAGTCAGAAGTGCTCCCAGTATAGAAACAAGACAGAGAGAGCCAACTGACTACAGCCAGCACCCCAGGCCATGCACCCCTCCCAGTCAGTGGAGGCTAGGTCTCAAGTTGATCAATAAGCCTCATCCAAGCTGCCGTTTGTTGGCCTAAAAAGAGAAGGACTATGCAGGAAGGTTTGGATTCTGAAGACATACAAATTTACTGTGCATTGTGTATTTAGTCAGCTCTGCAACTTCCTCTCGCCTAAACTGTATGAAGATACTAATCATATACAGGAGGCCCTTTTCTGCAGCCCAACCAATTTGCAATGGTACTGAATATGGGAAGTGTCTTATGGGGACAGTCAGTACCAGACAAAAATTAATAATTATCCTTTCAGCACTGAGCATGATAGAAGATGGGGCAATTGGGAGTTAAGGGACTACTAGCAGAGCAATCTGGACGCACAGATGGCGCTACTTGTTCTATGTTGTCTGTTAATCATCTTATATTGAAAGAGATTCAGTCAGTGCTGGAAGTGTTTTTAGGTTCATCACTAGTGATCTCACAAGCCCAAATAAAGCTTCCTAAGCAATGAGCTTTTTTCGCTTTACTGTATACTGGGTGAATACACCCACATGCAGATTTGAAAATGCAAGTCAAATTTAACTCACAGTAAAGGCTTCTGGTTCCTATTTGTTTGCTTTAGACCATAGAAGTATTTTTCTCAATTCTATCATGCTATCTTCTAACGATTCAAATATGAGAGAGCAAAGAAAAAATTATATCATTATAATTTTGTCAATGTCTGAACATCTAAATATTGCGTGTAGGAAGCAAATTTAACACTAAATAAAGAATCCTCAGAGAAAGAGAGGCGCACATTTCACAGCAATATGCTCAACATTTAAATTGTACATCACAACTGACTTTTTGTTTCTTAAACAGATACACATTCATCTATAACCAATGTGTCATAATACAATGGAACCTCAGATCTAATGACTTGTCTAATTAATACAAGCCACCTTTCCAATATTTCTGAATTCCAAACAAGGAATGTGTTTTTACATAAAAATAACAATTGTAGCAATTTGGTATTTAAGGTAATTGTAGCAGAAATGCTAAGTCAAGACTTGAACCAATGATTGAGCAGCTGGTGGGAAGGCAGGGCCAACCCAGGGGAGCTCAGGTGTATGCAATGCATCTGAGTGACTGGAAGAGGTGGAACCAGGATCCACCCCATCCCAGACTTCATTTAAGAGTTGGCAGAGGAGACAAGAGGAGCCCTCTGGTCCTTCTATCTGAGGCTTTCCAAAGGTATGTAGCATCCTTTCTTTATTTCTGTCTATGGCTGCTGCATTTGAGCAAGTTCTTCCTTGCTGCAGCCTAGGGCCTTGCTACTCTGCTGTCATTGTGCTTTCCATTGCACTGCAGTCATGTTTACCACTTGGACAAGCTGGCGTATAATAATTTCACCTCATAAAGTGTTCTAATTTATCTGCATTAATTCACCTTCCATTCCTAAGGGGAGGAAGAGACATCCATGCAATGGAAGCCACATGTAACAGAGTGTCACAGTGGAAATTTAATAGAATAAATCTCTTGAAGTACTCCTGAATTATTTAGACAGTTCTAGTATAGAAATAACTTCTTTCCAATGCCAAGCCCAACTCTAATTTCCTTCTATCATGCTACAGATCTGCCTAGCACTACAACTTAGGAAGCAGCTTAACGGTCTCTCCAATGAAGTGGAGAAGTGTGTAACAGATCAAGAGGACATTCAATTCCACAGGGCTAACTGGAGCATCAGTTTATTTGAAATATTAGTTACTGCCTGAAGTTACATAAACTATGAGTAAAACAGATTAAATCAGGAGACAAAATCCTGATGCAAGGAGGTAGTAGAAGTCTTGAGAGAATTACAGCAGGAAGATAAATGTTGTAACAACCTTGAAAAGTTTGAAGAGCGACAGCCTCCCTTAAATATGTTTTTTGTTACCTTCTATGAGAAAGTCATGAGTCACTGTTGACCCAAATCTTCTTAAATTGTTGCTAAATTGCTGCTAATAAAAAACAGTAATTCAGAGCAAAAAGCTCATCTCTAACTGTTTAGAAGTACTACTTTTTATTACTTGCTATTTAGGGAATGGAAGGCAGCCAATAAAATTCTCAGTAGAGCTCAACATCCTCACAATAGCAAGTCATCTTATTTTCCATCTCTAAATGGCACAATGTGTTGTCAAATTAGTTTCTCCCTTGCTTCAACTACAATTTATTATATCAATCTTCTTAAGTATTTAAAAATTAACATAAAAATCCCTATTCAGATTCCTTTAAATAAAAGCTGAGCATAGACAGCATTGTCTGACAACAATGGAGCTATTCACATATCTACTTTCAACAGCTGCATTTGGAACAAAAGCAGCCTGAATGCAGGATATATTCTTAAGTTATCTACAGCCAGGTAGAACAGAGAGGTATCTTCCCTCTTGCAGCACTACACAAAAAAGGACATAGTGTCTTTAATAGATAAGAGTTTGCAGGGGTGTGCTCAATAACTAAGGCTGATTTATTAAATATAAGAGATACCATTGCCATGTGATAGCCTTTGATTTACGTGGTTTCTAAGTCACAGCTACCAACAGACTTATGAGCTCCCATTTTGTCCAGGTCATAAAGGCTGTGTATTTTAGATGGCATGCGATAACACCACTGCAACATTTTATAACCTCCCCTGAGATAACCATGAGAAAAGAATGGATATTATTGCAACTGAAATGTAATGATTAAGACAGATTCTGAAGAAGCAGATAGCTAAAGGGGGGAAAAATTACAGGAAGGTAAAAGCTTGTGAGATTGAGGGGCTTGCTGACCTGATACAGGTATCAAAAAAGTCCTGTTTAAAGATTCTGCCGGAAAGCGAAACAATTTTGGCTTTGGGAGAGAGTGAAGAATTACTTATCCAAGATGTATTTTCCAAGATGCTTTTGAGGTAAAGAAGAAATATTGTCAGGATGCCGTACCAGCATTGGACAGACTGGAACAAACTGACTGATCATTAGAGTAGCAAGTCAGCCACATCAGCTTATGTTCTGACAGGATTTTAATGCGATGGTAAGTTTTAAAGTATCTTAGCAGTTCAGACACCTGATTCTTGATAGCCGGAGGGCAGTAAACATTGCCAGAAGGACTGGAGGTGATATGGGGAATCATAAGTATACAGCCTTTATTCCAGTTTATCATTTTGTACGAACTATATCAGAACTAAATATACATGGGAATGTAGCTTCCCTGCAGCTAAACTGCAGTGGTACTTGTTAGATTAAAGCATAAAAATGTGCTATGATCTCCAAGACAAACTTCACTGTATTAACAAACAGCACTGGTGAATGAGCTGCAAGTCAAAGCTCAACACATTGTCATGGCAAAAATAAGCAATAGTTCCTGCTGTAACAACTCTCAAAGACAAGCTACATTGTGTTGTCAAAGAAAAATTGTTTTCTTGTCATTTACTTCTGATTTTTATACTTGGGCACATAAAACAAGCATTCTGCTTTCTATAGTGTGTATGCAGAAAAGGAAGGTTCTATAATTTTTAAGCAAAATAACAAAGCAGTTCTACTTTCAGAATGTATTCTGCATTTAAAAAACAGAGCTATAGAAATAGAAGTTCTATTGAAAATTATTTACTTAACAGTTAAATTCAGTGAATTAAATCTGCCTGCATTCAGAGCCTCCTTCCATTACTTAATTACTTTCTATCCTGAAGAAAAACAAACTAGACTAGCAAAGGTTTCTGCACTTCCTGAATGTAATTTTGTGTTTAAGCTATCTACATGTAATTCCATGTATAAGCTATAATAACAATTGTAAGTATTGGCCTGTTGAAGATCTGCATGTGCAATAAATCTGACATGCAAAAACCTGAAGAAATGTCTACAGTGACAAAGCTGATACTTCCATTCAGCACTTAGCTGAAGAATTGTTTTATTTTCAGTCTTATTAATAGTGCTTTATCTTAACATCGCTATCATTACAACATACTAAGGGTATATTAAAGAAGCACAGACTCTAATCTTCACACTTTCTGCAGATCATGAATAACACCTGAATTACAGTCACCACCAAAGTAGAAGCTCAAATTCACTAAGGAGCAAAGGTAAGGAAGATAGATAATGAAGTCACCCACTTCTCCACTGAAAGTCTATTTTTTAATATTGTATGAAGCAGATACAGAATGAGAAAATAGAATAATGCCTCAGCTGTGTGTTATTTAGAGACAGAAAAAATATTTAGACGAAATATTTTTAATGGAATTGGAAGGGGTTTTTTTGTTTGTTTGTTTTTTAAGAGGGATGGAGGGAGAAAGAGGGTCTCTGATAAGCTAAGCCTATTATGGGCACGAACATCTTATCTTACACAGTCTATTCCTTAATATTTCAGTGCCTAACTTTTTTAACGTTATATGGATGTAACGCACTTTGTAATCTATGAGCAAAAATCAGAATAGTCACCTTGTGTGCTTCAAGGCTTGGTTTTATTTTATAAATTAATACCAAACTTATGAAAAAGCCTGATTTATTTTTTTTTTTCCCCTGCCAAATTCATACTGGTTTTATTGCTTTGTCTTCTGGCTTGATGCACTGTACCCCTACTGTGTTTCTGTGAAGCTGCTTATTATATGTGGCTATTACCCAAAACTAAAACAACCATTATCTTTGGAGAATCAGTATAAAATTTCAGGCTATCTTTCAAATACATCCATTTATCATCTTATGGATTTTTGTCTCCAGGTGGGCTTACTACAGCTTTTTCTATTCAAAAGAAATTTGGACGCCTATTGCTGTTTGACACCAGTATCAAATTTGAAAGTAATAGGTAACAACTTCAGGAACTGAGAGAAAAAAATCCATAGGTCAACTAAATGAAACCCAAACTGATATAGAGCATAAAAAATAAAGCAAAACACTAACAGAAAGATGACAAACCACATGTATAATACAGGTAGAGGAAGGAGAGAAAATTACACAACCATTTTTCCCATCAGTGTTCTAACAGAATACCTGTGCCATCTATCTGCACTTCTGTACAGCAAACAACTGATCTTACTTTGTAATCAGTGAGCCACTTTTTCATGCATAGGTTTATCATTTTTGTCATTCCTATGTTATCAACACATCTATACTTTTTAAACATAAATGATTATAAATTTCCGAGTTTGTGAGAACATCATATAAAAGTACTATCCAGGAAAGTCTTACCTAGTACCGAGGATTGGCTCCCCCAGGGCTCCCAAAGCAGAATAGTCCATGCCATAGAAATTCAGCCCTAGAAGTATTTTATTTCTCCATTTTGAATCAGGATCCAATACTTGAATACAGGCTCGTACCCAGGGCAGTGGAGAATTTGGACCAGGTCTGTTGAGTTAGTAAAAAATCAAACAAGCTGTGAGAGAAGGTACACATTTGCCCTCATTAGCCTTTTCTTTTGAACTAGTGTAATTGTAAAGAGCAAACTATGGTACACAAAACAAACAAACAAACAAAAAAAAAAACAGTGAAGGTTAATTTACAATCCTACAAAGGTTCCATGCATGCCCCTAGATGGCTTGAACTACTGATGCACATAGGGTGCTTGCCCCACTCAGCTTGGTAACTCACTTCTGTGGTGAAGAGACATGAAACTTTTACCGTAGGTTTCCACCTAGCATGTTTTCTCTGTCATGGAGCTTGCACACTGCCCACAGAACACTTCAGAAATCTGTACAACTTCAGTTGTAAACAACACAGGTTTCAGTGACTGCTTAAGGTTTGCACGCTACTTCTGCTTGAAAACCCAAACAGATAATTGCCTACTAACAACAAAAAGGTACATGAATGAAAAAATGTAGCGCTAGAATACTCAGAGCAGTTGAACTGTTCTATATGCAGTATCAGGATTTCAGGTTAATTCGCTTCCTAGCTCATCAGGGACGATAGCAACAAGTTTTACTGCGAAAATTCAATAACATGATAAAAGTAAAAGCATGTTCTAATCTCACAACTATAAACATCCTAGGATCTACTTTGCTAATTATCTGCCTCAAGGCCTTTAAGATATCAGTGACATTAAAACCATGTGCTAACAGTACAGAAATTTTGCTGTATGTGTTATCCTGCATTTAAAATACTCAAACTAATCCAAGTTAATTCAAAAGAAGATCATCTGAACAATTTTTTTTCAAATCCTCTCTCAAACTTTATTTCTCAGAAAATGTATTTTGAACACAATGGGTGTGTTAACTGAAGACTGCCTTCCTCGCGTGTTGAAGTACAAAAAAAGCCCAGCTCCAAGCCAGATCAAAGCAGCTTAATGTAGCAGTGGATGTATTAAGATGAGACTGTGCCATAATGGATCTTGTGATTTTAACATGTCATAAAGTATGGTGAAGCTTCACCATACAGGAAAGATGGTAGCATACAGTATAGTGTATCTCTAAATGCATCCGGGGTTCTACATAGGTTTGAAAAGTCTATATGAAAGTCCTTAGCATCTCATCTTCATAGATGAGATTTATATAGAGGAAAGCTACAATGTTATCTCTATGCTGCATATTTCAACAGAAGAGGGTAACAAATAACCGTTTTAATTTCAAATATGTTCCTTTTCTCTAGGGTGCTAGGCTTGCTGATCTAGAATAAAGGTCTGGGGAAAGAGATGAGAGATAGGTAAGCTTAATAGAAAAGAACTTCAGTCTCTTCAGAAATAAACCTGTGTAGACACTATCAAAATGCTAGAATGCTACAGGTGGCAGAGGTCTTAGTGATGTAATACATGCATTTCTACATCTGCCAGCTTACCACGAATGTTAACCGTAGACAACCATACTGAAGCAAGATAAATTGAATCACCCTGGAAGTCAAAGAGCATGTCTTTATCTGCAATTTGGAGATGAAATGAACCACACTTCTGGAGAATGATGATGTTAAAAGTCTGAGTTTAAGGATCTCTCAACTTGATTGCTGTTCCACTTCCAAAGACATAAAAATCGTAAGTTCCTGAAAATGGATATTCACATACAAGAGTGGAGTTTTGTGTTGCTTTTCAGTTAGATAAGTTGGTTCACTGAGTTGCTCCACAACAGCTGTAAAAGTACAAAGAAGGGACTACTAGAGGAACATGAAAACATGTTTAACCATGATCACATCAGCAGTGCTGTCAAAACACAGTCTGCTGCCTCATGAGGAATCAGACAAGTGCTTTGTCAGTTGTGCTTTAAAGCTATTCTTTCCAATGACGTGTACTGGATTATTCTGTACCATTGTGCAAAACTCCGTCAAATAACTAAAAGTGAAAAATTCACCTGGAAACAAGTGTCACAGTACCAATAAAAGAATAATTATTTAGCTCAGGTGCAAAGCCTTCTAAAATACTATGTGCCAAATCTTCACTGCAGCTAAATCCAAACTATTTGCTGGTTCAAAAATCAGCTGTTCTAATTACTAATCCAGAACTTCAGTATCTGATACAGTCAATACACGCTATCTGCTCAGTGAAAATTTAAAAAAAGACGAACCTCACATTGTAGATTTCATAAGGGCATAAATAGGAATCAGTTACTTCAGTTTTTTGTTTTTCTAGTGTTAGAATCTTACCTTTGTGGTGTTGAGTAGTCATATGTCATGAGACTGAAGCTGTCTACTGCTGAGGCCAACTGATCAAATTCTTTCTTTGTGAACATTCCTGGCTGGTTAGTCCTTTTAAAACAAATTTTAAAAAGAAATAATTAAAAAAAAAAAAAAAGAAACACCAGAAAGAAAAATTATTTTCACAACCTGGCTGACATCCCTGCCCAAAGCGTGTGGGTTGGAAGTAGGTGACCTTTAAGATCCCTTCAAACCACAATCATTCTGTGATTCTATAAAATTGAATGAATCCATTCTGTCCTCAGTTTGAGGAAATTCCACTCCATGACCTTCATCACACAAAAGTTTAGCTATGCCTTCAGTGTACCATTCTATGAATTCTTAACCTCCCTCTGACTATTTATTTTAATTAAAAACCAGTAACTTTATTCATCATTTACAAAATCTAGCTTCATGAGATGAGAGGATATATTTTTGATAGTTTTGGATTCATAGAAACGCTGGACTTTCTTCAACCATTCAACCCAACCAATTACTGCACACAAGTTCTGAGAATGTTTCAAAAAGAATTCAGAACATCAAACTAGCAATGCACAAAAGGAAGCCTTAAGCACATGGCAAAGATGCAAGGAGATCACTGTCCTCAGCCAGAGGGCTCTGAGGCACAAGTAGAGAAGACGTGTGTTATCCTAAATAGCCTGGGAGAGTAGGGTTTGCAGGGGAACCCTACAAAGAAAAGAGTAGTTTAACATCTACAGCCTCTTCTATAGAAATGCATGAGAATACACTTGAGAACAGAGGGGAAGATACTGAAGACTTCACAACTTTCCAGTGATATTACTTTTCCCAGAAATTAGCAGCTGACCCCTATCTAGACAAAGCACAGATTAAAACCACTCATGGTCCAACTCAACTGTAAAATCCAAAAAGATGCTCAATAACAGATGCAAGTAATAAAATGAAAAAAAAAAAATCACTTGTTTTGACCCTGATCGCTTTTGGATCAGTGTCCGAATTCTTCATTCAATATTATGTGTTAAATGGATCACCAGAGCATAACCGCATTCATTTATCAGTTTGAAAGGACACTTTAGGAAAGTAGTTAACAGAGTACAGGTTATAAAGTGGGGCAGAATAAATCATTTAACATATGTCATATTATAGGTGAGTAAAGCATGAATGACATTTGCAAGTCAGGTCAATGAATGAGACCAAATACACGCTGGAATACATAGCTCAAATTTGTACAAAGCATAGCACTGCTCTAGCAGGTTCAGGTTTTCAGAACCAGTGATATAGCTGTCACATTAAAAAGAAATTCCAACCTTTTCTTTCTGATGTTTTAACAAATTAATATAAATGTTTGCTTCTGGAACCCATTGCTGGATCCTAATTTTTTGGATAGTTATCTGCTTGTGATTTGCTGCAACTGCAAGCTACAGCTGTTTTCCAAAATAAACAGAATGAAGGACATTTTTGAAATAATGTCATGGCAACCTGAATGCCTGCAGGCAACGCAATTCCCCAATGAAAACCCCAACAAAACACATTTTCAATAAATTGATTTTGATTACTCATGACAGGAAAAGCATAAAAAGTAATTATAATGTGCATTAGATATTATAGTGAGTTAGATTGCATTATAGATTAAGCTGGGTAGTATTTTAATGAAACTTAGGTGTAGAGGGCAAGCAATGTATCCACTTTCCATATGTATTGTCAAGGAATGTGGAAAAAATTGAGGTTAAATGGATATAGTCATCATTTTCTGCAAAGCAAGCTTGTAACCAAACTATTTTAACTACAAAGGAAATCCATTTGAGAAAAAGAGCATAAATTTCCAACTTAGAATAAATCTGGCAGTAAGGATGATGCTTTCATGGATGGTGTTTAAAAAAGTTCCTAAGGATAAAAACAAGTATTTTGGATACTTGCAAGGATAAAACAAGTATAGCTATTATTCTTCTTATTTAAGGTTTTCCAAACACTAAATTAATTCTAACTTAGAGGCAGGTATGTTCTACTGGGTACATCATTGAGAAAACCACCACAAAGAAATTCAAGAGACTCTGCACAGAAAATACAACGGAAGTTCATGAGAGAAAAAGGTTTTAATGTAACCCAAATGTCTGTCATTCTTTTAAGCTCTAGATATAATTTCCAAAATATTCAGCAAAGTGACAGAGTCCATCAGCACTTACTTACAGTGTACAAGATACATACTAAGGATACCTGGTTATTGTCGGAGGACTACAACCCTTGGTGATTTTTTCTGCTTATTATCAATGCAACACAAATGCAAAGGGACAGAAGGCACATACATGAGCATGACTGGCAGGAAAAGCAGATGATTTACTATATCTCAAAGTCTCTTTGCTTGGAGCTAACCCTGACCTCTGAAGTGCTTCATTTTCTTTATCTTTGAGTTCACCTGAAGATAGCACTGGATAAGATAGTGAAGTCGTACACTAAATAGAAATCTGCTGCGTGGGAAAAAAAACAACAAAAAAACAACAAAAAAAAACCACAGGTCCCACTGGTCTACAAATATACTGAAATTATGTAATGAGTATTATGAATGTGAAACAATCTGGATTCAAGAAGTAAATTCAAAGCAGTATTCATAATAGCTTACAGTAAACCCTTTTTATTACTATTGTAAGATTGTTTGTGTTTTTTTGCCTGAATATCTCATGCAAACTTCATTCACCTTCCTTAACATTATTCTTGGATGCACTAGTGTTCTTACTTGATTCTTACATCAATTGTTCAGCACAGTTAACTAGGAAACATAGTAACTGCTCACAATAAAACTCCTCAGCTACTCAGATTTGGAACTGGGCATCTAATGAAGCCTAAATTTGCATGTACGTGGACTATAACATCACCACAGAGATGACTTTTACTGCACTCTAGTTACTGCTGTGAAACAACAGCAAGCCCCAAGAGAAAACAGCAAAAGAAACCCCATATACTATTACAGAATGTGCAATCATTTTTTTCACCTGGACATGCTATCCTTCATGACATACAGCACACGCGCCCAGGTGCTGGATGAACTTGCCTATCTTGCCTGTCGTTTTCTAGCTAACTACTGCATTATGAAGAGAAAACAAGCACTCCACTTTTTGAGTATAATGTTTAAGAGACAGAAACATTTCTAAGAGGTGACACAGTCCAATTCTTGTTTGGACTACAACAGCTGTACAGGACATATCAATAGCTTTGCTTTAAAGCAGTCATTTTCCTTGAGAAGTGATACGCTTTCACCACGTGCTCCGAAGAGATTAATTTTCTTAGCTAAAATACTGATTTTCCTTTTCAAACCTTATTTCTACAACCATTCTTCCCATTTTTAGCCAAGCCATTTTTCACTTGACTAAGAAGCTGTGGCAGATTTACACTGATGGCCAGTTGAACTCCACCACAACCACTCTCTTATTCTTACTCCTCAAAATAAGAGGAAGACAAACATGATCAGGGAGGCAGGGGGAAAGACTCACAAGTTGAGATAGGGACTACTTGACTAAAGAGGAAAAAAGAGAAAAAAAAAAACACAAAAAAACCAGCAAAGGCCATGTGGAAGTAAAGAGGGAGAAAACAATTATTCTCTACTTCCCACTAGCAAGCAATGTTCAGCTATGTCTTGATAAGCAGAGCCTTAATATGCATAGTGATTTTTCAGGAGGACAGTCATCTTCATAATGAGAACCCACCCTTCTCTTTCTCCTTTTCCAGCTTTCATTTCTGAATGTGATGTCTTATGACATGGAATTAGACTCTAGGTCAGACTGGATCACCTGCCCCAGCAATGTCCCGTCCCTACCTCTTGCCCATCCTCAGACTCCTGGCTCTTGGAGGTTGGAAGAGAACCCCAGTGCTGTGCCAGCACTGCTCAGCATGAGACAAAACTTCAGTAGGACAGCTAGACACTGTTCTAGCTACAAATACAGAGCACAGCATTATATGGAGTGTTGTGGGGAAACTGAACTCCATCCCAGACAGACCCAGTACAGAAGATATTTTAAGACTCTCCATTTTCATTTGTAGGCTTCTGACACAAATTTCTTTTAGACAATGCAGAAAAAAACAGCAATTTCCCTGAGATCGTAGCTCTTATTTGCATTCCTTATTCCATATATTCCATATTCCCTTCAGTTTATTGTCACCTCCTGAGGGCTTACTGTTTTATGCATATAAAAAAACTACAATAGCACAGTACATAAATGTCAGAGACTCAGATGAAATCTCATTTTTCTAGCCATTTCTCTATACACGGCTTAGAATTACACTGTCCCTTTTGATTATGCTATCCTTTTCAAACCTAAGTGCAGGGTAGCTTGTATCATAGCTTAAGAATCTCTACGACCTGCACCTTCCAAATAGCATATGGTCATTTGTATTGAAATTCCCATTAGCGTTTTACTGATAAGTATTTCTATAGGGTTTTGACTTTGTCATCTTTCATACTGAAAGACTGGAAAAAAAAATATTTCAACCATGCAAGCCACTTCATTTACTTTCAAATGAATCTACATTTTCAATTACTTCTTGTCTCACTATCATTACTCTCAAAATGAAATAAGATAAGAAAAAAGGGTCTTGTAACTGACTTCTATTCCTGCAGGTTTGAACTGCATTCTTGTTTGGCTACCTCACCTTCTCCCTCTCTTATAAGGGAGAGCTTTTCTTTATCCTCGTGTCTCTGAATAGTCCTTCATAATGGAAAGCTGATTGATTTTCTGTTTCCTCTATACGTTTATTTCAGAAGTCATCTGCTCAGTAATGACTTAATTCTCTTGTTGTGTGTAATTCTGTTTTCTCTGTAAACCAGCTGTTTGCAAATCTTCCCTTCTCTCCTCTTTCATCACCACAGAACTTATTAGTTTTCACAGCTCCTCACAGTTAGCTGCTCTGAAGTATAATGCTATTGCATTTTATGAACAGACCACTGAATTCAGTTAATGCATGATCACTGAATACAAATGCACTGGTTCTTTCTGCATCCAGCCCGTTCTACAGTAAACATGAGAAAGAGCTAAATCTCTACTCTGTGGAGCATGCAATTCTAGGCATTGATAATGAAGCAGTTAAATGAATAAACAAGTTAA